AAGTTGATATCAAGAGCCTTTTGGAAAATAAGTGAGAATACATGCCTTAAAGCTATAATCACATACATTTATTTTTCATTATGTGTGATAAACTGAAAGGGCAACATCTTTCTAATAAATCAGCTTAAAATAGGTTTAAGCTTTTTTGCAGTTATTATTAGGAAACACATATTCTGACACCTTAACACTATACTGTGTTATACCTAAAAATCAAATAATACCTGCTCTGAACTTCCTGTCAATGTTAGCAGCAGGTTGCTCATGGGAAGCACATCAAACTTCTGCCCCTATATTAAGTGCAAGGTGGCTTGGCTTTCACAGTTAAAAAGCTTCAGTAACTCTTGTTTGTTGGCTATTTTATTTATTTATTTACATATTCTCTGTGACCAGTCTCACTGTATAGTCCAGGCTTGCCTCTTCCTTCAGCCGCACAAGTCCTGGGATCATAGGTGTGCACCAACGTGCTCAGTTCTCATATATTCACACATTCATAATGGTCAGGTGAACATTAATATCTGGGGATTCACTAAGATACTATATTTTTAGGTTTTTTTTTTCTATTTAAAATGATACTAAGTGTCTAAGAATATAGCTCAGAGACAGGGCACAAGATCAATGCACTGATTCAAACTTTGATGTCATAGAGATAGATAGATAGATAGATAGATAGATAGATAGATAGATAGAAAGAAAGAAAGTCTGGGCTTTGGTACAGTGCTGTTTCTATGGTGGTTTTCATCTGCACACAGTCTTAAAACCAGCCCAATTAAAATGCAGCTGGTTCAATGTCCGGCCTGTAGAGATTTCCTCTGAGTGGAAGAGAGGAGGGAGGAAGCCGAAGGAGCCTGAGGAAACAGACAGGGTCCTGGAGGCCTAGAAAGTCACAAGACTCATAAGGCTAAATTATATGTTAGGCCTGGGCAAAGAGGTTGCCTCTCATGATGAGAGAGCTCTTGATTATCAGATGTATTTCTAAGATGTTATGTAAATTGCATTGAGGACTCTTGATCATCAGACGTATTACCAAAATATTATGTAAAGTATGTTGTGTAATGTGTTGTTTTTCTAATGTACTCAGCAATTTGACCTTTAAAGTTCTCCCTACATAGCCCAGGCTGGCCTCCTACGTCATCTACCCTCCTTGTTGCTCTCTTCAGTTGTGGCTTAGCTCATGCTAACATTTCCTAACTAGATTATGACCATGGCTTTGCAGTCGGTCTTTCCACCACGGGTATTCTCATCTGAACCTTCCTTGATGCAGGCTCATTCTGATGCTCAAAAGATGTTTTTGGAAGCAGGGTTTTTGTGTAGCTACAGCAGGCCTCCCGTTCTCCACTCTCTTGCCTAGGCCGCTGGAGTAGTTGTGATCATCCATGGCTACACACTACTTGGTCACATCAAAAGTGGTCCAGAGCTGGACGGTGGTACAGTGCTTGCCTCGCATATGCAGGGTCTTGGGCTTGATCCACATTACTGCAAATAAAATAACAACATGAAATAAAAGAAGATGGAAAGCGTCGCTGTTATTTACCTATTATTTACTAAATGTCCTGGGTACCGGATGCCATTTTTGGACTAGGTATCCACCAACATATGAAAGGAACCAAAATTCTTGTCCCTTGGGAACTTACCTCTGCCACAGTCATCAATGAAAATATCTATTTCAACCCTACAGATTTTACTAGAATCTTGGGAGATATGATAGTAATGGCAGTAGTACTTTTTTTTCCAAAATATATGCTATGTGCTAGTCATTATACAAATCATACCCCTAAAAGGTCACATAGAAGCTTTAACTAGGCTGACTCTACAAAGAGAGAACCAACACTCAGATAGTCACGTATCTTCCAAAATTGAAGATTCTAACTATTGTTGTAGTCGAAATTTGAATTGAATGCCCTTGTCAAGGCTTGGGCCTGAGATTACCCATTCTCTTTTAATCAATAAATGACTGCATTTATAGATGCCACTTGCAAATAAACACGGTAGTATGCATATTCTTAGTTTACACAAATGGTCGGAGAATGTCTGGAGACAGTTTTGATAATCATAGCAAGGATGTTACAGCTGAGTAGTGAGTCAAGACCAGAATGCCTTGGCCTGCTTACTCTGCTGAGACAAAATGCTTTAGGCTAGGTCGCATAAAACAGTAGAAATGTATCCCTTGCTAGAAAGTTCAAATATGGGCATTAGAAAATTGTGTTCCCTTTGAAAAGTTAATTTCTGTTCTACAGCTATTTTCTTCTAGTTTCCTCAGCTGGGACAGGGAATACAACAGATATTATGGAACACGAATCCCTGGGTTTGGTTCCCAACACTACACGTGTGCACACACACACAGTTTGGGGAGAGAGGTGGAGAGGACAAACACACAGATAGAAGCACATGGGCTTGGAGGATTTCTTCTTTCTTGAAACAAGGTCTCCCTTCTATAATTCAGGCTGGCTTCGTGCTAGCTATCCTTTTCTGCCTTAGCCTCTCAAGTGATGAGATTACAGGTGTGTACCACGTGCTTGACTTTTCTCAGGTCTTTTTTATAGGGACCTTCATCTTATGAACAAGGATCTCTTTATACACAGCGACATTTGCTCATCTCTCCAAAAGCTGCTTCCATCCTCCTCAGTAGAACCTTTAAGGGGAAAGGAAAAAAATATGATCAAATAAATATAACTCGTATTTATTTTATCAGATGAGTTCGTATTTTTACTTTCAGCCCACGGACTGGGATTATGAATGCCAAGGAAGTTTGGGGGACATCTGAGACAATCATGGAGCCGCTGAGACCAACCACAGTCTTGAATCAGGCATGTATCATTTCGTTTCCCACAAAGAACGACTGTTCCTCCTCACAGTCCAGGTGTCCGTCTCCTCCCGTGCCTTTCTTAGTGGTTATCAGATTGACAACATGAAATAGTGTACGGTGAATCTGCCTCTTCCTTCCACAGGTAACCAAGCTTAAATTAGAAGAACATCTAGTGCCAGGGCCACTTGTCACTGGACTCATACATAAAGAAGAGAACATTGCTTTTATACGTGGTAGAAAATCATGGGATTAAATCTGTAAGTTAATGTTTCCATCAATAACCGAGGGAGCCTAGTACTTGCATTTAACACATGAAAATGTATATATTTAAGAGGTACTTAAGTTTTCCCTGATATTGATCACTAGGTTTACATTGTGTTTCTGGTCAAGGATGCCCTTAAAATACAAACAAAAATTTATTTCAATACACATAGGATTCATTCATTCAGTGTATTGAAAACAAGAAGAGAAGGGTCCATGTTTACTCTTTACATATCTCATTCTATACCCTGGTAACTTCAGCCGAGTTTCATGCCAGATGATTTTGTTTTTTAAAGGTTCCTTTCCTGGCCAGGACGTTGGAGTTCTCCCTCTAATGTTGAAACCTAATCTTCAGTTCAAAGCACTGACAGCCTTGAGCTCATGAGAAATCTTACAAATGGCTTCCCTGGTAGTCTTTTAGAAAGTGGTTGGCTGGGGACAGAAATCTGGCTTCTGAGTAGGGAACAGTTGTTCTTTGTGGGAAACCAAGTGGTCTGGGTTTACCTCAGATCTGTGAATCATGTTTTCCTAGCATGTCTTAAAGGCTTTCCTGACCTTCACAATCCCATTTCATCATCACAAGTCAAGATATAACTTTGTATGATGACCTGAAGGAATGCTACTTTAATCTTTTCTCTTTTCCTACAAAAGCAGTCCTTAAAAGTTTTTTGGATATCATGGGAGCAGCTCATGGAGAGGTAACCAGTGACTAAGGATAAAGAGCCCCCCTGTTCATCAGAGGCCTAGAGTTTGTTTATGAAGGCGTCTATTTCTTGACAGAAATTAAAATAAATATGCTGGCTTTTTAAAAATAGTATATCTGCACAAAAGGAAGTTCAGCATAAATTTTAGCTCATTGAGCAAGACATGGTATTTGCTAATTTACCCTATCTGTCCCATAGTGCCCTAAGGGGTTAAGTAAACAGTTAACATCACTATTTTTGCTAGACAACTGGTTTTTCTCCTAGCAAATGTCTACATTTCTTCTGAATTATCTTTTAAAGAGTTTAAGGAGATCTTTATCCCTTTAAGAGTTTCATGGTTTTCCCTGCTTTGTTCTTTCCCAAGCCTGGCTGTCTCGTGAGAACCAGCCAGCCTAATGTTGGCCACATAACCAATATGCCTATTGAGTCACAGTACCATTCCAGCCTGAGACAAGAATCTTTTAATAGTGGTCATCTCTGTGAGGGATGAGAGTCGAACATTCAAATGTGACACCTGCAATTAGAAAGATCTCTGGTCTTGCCACAGCTATTTTAAAGATGAGGTAATTTGGGGAGTGTTGAAAAAGCAGCATTTATTTAAAACTTTCCATTGCAGTTAATGTATGCCCCAGTAGGTTCATTGTGTTCTGTCAAAGAAACTTGCTGTCTGACCTTAGAGTCTTAAAGGGTTGATGTGACAGTTTATGTATTCATTCGTACTTGGTATGAACCAAGGACCTTAAGTGTATTAGGCTGGCACTTTACCATCTAGCATGGTTTTAAGCACATAAAATGTGCAGGGGGTAGAACCAAGAACCTTAGCATGCTAGGCCAGCGCTCTGTTTCTGAGTTACACTCCTTTCTCCTCTCTACTTCTTGTAACTTCACTGCCCCTTGACATCACCTTCCTGGGATCCAAATGGCTTTGAACAAAAGAGGAAAGCCAGTGATTTAAGGAGTCGAGTTTCATTTCAGAGCAGCACCGCGCTTACATTAGGCAAGGTGCGAAAGGGCTCCTGCCAGGTAAAGTACCGGAAAGTTACAAGTTGGGTTATTTTTTAACCGGCGTCCTACAAAACCGACGCCGTGTAGGTGTCTCACTCGCTAACTCGGAAAAGAACTCCAGGTTCTTTTGCTCGGGGAGAGTTAGCAGGCAGAGAATCTGGCAGCCGTTCAACGACCCCGCCCTCGGAGTCCCAGGGGGGCTTCTTCTGGAGAGTGCGATTGTCTAGGGCGGAGGCGCGGCAGGGCTGGAAGGGAGCGGGGCGAACCCCGAAAGCACCCTCCGAAGCCGCGCGGCTCCCAGCACGTGGAAACTTCCCTGGCGGCGAGCAGGGCGGGAGGGGGCGGCGGTTCCCCTCGGTGCTGAGAGCACCGCGCGCGCAAGGATCGGGGCGCGCGGCGGGCGCGGCGGCCGCCGCCTCCTCCCGTCCCCGCCTCCGCGGCGCAGCCTCCTCCCTCCGCCCGGCTCGGCCTCCGGCTCCCTCCCCTCGTGGCAGGCTCCGGCGGCGGCGGCTGCGGCGGACCGGGAGGGCGTGCGCCGGCTGAGAGGTGTGGGCGACGAGGGTAGGGAAGTTTCAAGTGGAAGGTCGTCCGCCGGCCGGCGCGTCCCCTCACTCTCCTCCCGCAGCATCATGGCGGAGCCGAGCGGCTCGCCAGTGCACGTCCAGCTTCCCCAGCAGGCGGCCCCGGTGACAGCGGCGGCGGCGGCCCCGGCGGCCGCGACATCAGCACCGGCCCCGGCCCCGGCCCCGGCGGCTCCCGCAGCCCCGGCCCCGGCTCCAGCTGCGACTCCAGCCCCGGCCCCGGCAGCTCAGGCGGTCGGCTGGCCCATCTGCAGGGACGCGTACGAGCTCCAGGAGGTTATCGGTCAGTGCGGAGGGTGCTGCGGGGCCGGTCCAGGCCGGGCGCCGACACTGGGCGGGAGTGGGTGCGGGATGCGGTTCTGCCTGCCTGCCTGCACGCCCAGGGGCAGAGCGGCCGGCTTCGGGGCCTACCGGCTTCAACAGTTATTTTTATTGTCTTTTTTAATTTTTAATTTGTCCCTTCCTTCCCTGAGCGCGGCTGCTGCAGGAGGTGGCGCGGCGGATGTGACTCGCACTGCAGACGAGCTGCAGGCTGCAAACTTTTATCTCCCGGATCGCCGGGGCGGCGGAGCTGGAACCCAGTAACGCCGCATCCTCCTCCCCCATCTCAAGCCCTGGGGCGGCAGCTCGTGGCCGGTGACCACGCGGATGGGCTGCCGGGGCGGGGTGGGGATGCGGGGGCGCCGCCCTGGGCTTCCGCGCCCCCGCGCCGCGCCGGGTGAAGCGCGTCCTGGGAGACCCTGCGGTCGCAGCCGCGCCTCTGCCTCCTGCCGTGACCTCTCGGTGGGTAGCCCAGCCACGTAGTAGTGGCAGAGGCCCAGGCGCCTGCCCAGACCAGGGAGGATGCTGGCCTTCTTCTGACAGCCGCCGCTAGCTCGCCCTGCAACCCGGCTCTGCGCGCGGTGCGCCCGGGTACCTGCCTCCCTCCTTGCGGGCGCGCCGCCTGCTGCCAGCCCCGGGGCCGGTGAGCGGGCGCGCTGGCCTCCTGCCCTGCGCCGGGCGGATCTGCTCGGTTGAAACTCGAGGCTGTCCATGATCCACGCCCAGCCTTTCGGTGTCTCTTAGGCAGCTCACTAATATCATCTTATCTTACATTTTTAAATACCTGGCAGAGTCGGAAGGCAAGAAGCCCGCGTTACTTTTCTTTGAGCCAAGCACGTGAAGGGCCAGGATATTTGTGGTGTCCTCTAGCATAGAACCTTACCTAAAGGTTCATTGAGCTAAAAGTTTTGTCCGTGAGCGATGCTGCCAAGCAAACTGAGCCCCATCGTGTAACCTCATGAACTCTGGATTGGGATGTTGCTGGCCCATAGTCTTAATATTTAAAGATGCAAAGAAAAAAATATCCACGTTATCTTTTTCTTTCATTTAAAAAGATTTCCCTATTTCCCCTTTGAACAATTATAATTAATATAATTTCACTAGGCACTCCAAGGAACCCCTTTTATGTCATGTGTGAATGAGACTGCATATATATACATACATGTATGTGTGTATGTATACATATATGATAGGCAGAAGTGTGTGTATGTGTAGTAATTGGGTACTCTAGTATGCAAAGACTGTGTATAGTCTTTATAGACATTTGTAGACAAAATTCTAGTGTCTTTGATAACTTTTACCTACAAACTCTTCAGGGATGAATCTCCAGGTTACTGTCAGCATTTAATAACTCGAAGAGCTTTCAAAGCCCAGACTTCTCAGTGAAAACTATTTTAGTCTGGCATATAAGGCTCTTCACTCTGAACTTCTTTTCTGTTCCCTGAGTTCTTACATTCTCACAGTGATTGCTGATTGCTGTCTTTGCAGGCTCTTCCCTTTGAAGGTCCACCATGCGCACACTCACAATGGACACACATACACAAACGCATACATATATACATACATACATACATACATAATACATGTATATTAATATTGAAGACTGAACCAGGGCTATTTCCTAGGGACCTTTGCCTAGCCAGCCTTGCTCAGCTTCCAAGGCCACAGTGAGTATTTTCTGAGAAGCTTGTGCTTCTCTCTGGACATAGGTTGGTGTCTCCTTCTGACCCCTTCTTTATATACTTTGCAGTCCCTAACCTCATAGGTACTGATTGCTCATCAAGGTCTTAGGGCCTACTAGGTTCTGTGAATGCGTTGGCAATGCAGATGATCAAATCATGTTCTTACCCTTAGGAAGGAATGATCCTACAGGATGTGCTGAGTGAGTGCTCAGAGGTGGAGGGAAGCAGATACCCTGCAGGGGGGAGACTGACTGCACAGGGTTTTGAAGTCTGAATAAGAGCTTGTAAGGTGCTTAATTATTCCTGTTGCTGCCGTCCCTAAGCAACTCTGAATTGTGTTGGTTGCTGTCTTCCACCACACAGTTTTCCTTAGGATCCAGAATAATTTACATACAACCAGTTTATATTCTTAGGTTGTTAATCATCAGAGTTAAAATGTAAGCCTTGACTTTGGGAACAATATTTTGAGTTGGCCTCTTTTGTGAGTTAAGGAATACGATCTTTTTAGCTTAAGTGGAATTAATTACAAGGCCTTCTCTGCTTGTGGTAATAATGTTAATTATGGTTGGTTGATTTTTAGTGAAGAAGAAAGAAAAGGGAGTGTTTACCTGGGGGATTCAAGAAAAGAGAGACATGCTTAGTTCATCCTGGTTTTACACATTGTTCAGCTTTTCTATGATTTATTTATCTCATATTTTCCCATCCTATGAGATGGGTATTTGGAAATCCTTATTATTAACAAATGGCTAGAATAGGGTTTCACAAGAGCTTCGCGGTTCCATTTAGCCGTTCATGCTAGTTGAGGGATTCAGAGCAAATTCCTGGTTGAGCACTTTGCCTTAAACGTTATATTCCAGAAGTTAGCAGTACAAATACTAAACCAGTTTGAAAGTCAATGCCAGTCAACAGCCCGTGCCTCTCCCCGCCATACAGCAGGTGTCCTATAATGTGATTCCAGCAGTGCAAACCACAACCAGCAGGAGGCTCAGATGTGCCAGAGCCTCAAGCCTGGGGAGGCAGGGCACTTCAACTTCCAGCGTGGCACAAAGCACAAGCACCTTTTCTTCTGTTTCCTTCTGGGTACAGGACAGGGCCTCCGGATTAGGACAGGCTAAGTTTTCTAAAATCCAAACAGACCAGGTCCAGGTATTTGAGTTTTTCTGTTTTAGGAAAACAAACACAGGATTTTCCGAGTCTAAAAATAAAGTTTGTGTTTGTGGAGCTGCTGTTCTGTTGTAAAAGCAACAGAGAAACTCTCTAATGCTATTAGGAGTAATCTGGTTCAGAAGTTCAGGCATGACCTAGAAATAATGTCAGGTCTGTCGGACGGAGCTGTATAATCAAACAGGGGCGACACGTGGGATTATTGAGTTCCTGTGTTCAGAACATTTCAGATGTTGCAGGGTTCTGTACAAACAACTGTTTGGAGAATTTCAGATCTCTTCATGATCTCTAGTTTTTTTCATCTGACCTCGCCCTCGGAGTCCTTCTGCAGAAGCATGAAGGGCACCTGAACTATGCCAGTTGAAAACTGAGTTTGTTGGCAGTATTAATAGGATCTCCTTGACTCTTTAAACAAAGAATAAAAGATGAGTTATGTAAACATTGACTCGGGCATCTGTAATAGAATGGACAACCTCTGTGAACTTCTCTCCTTGAACGATGTCTATCTTGGCAGTATCAGTTTCCGAATTTGAATCAGGTAATTCCAGAAGTCCTCTTATCTCCCCTCATTTTCCACCTAAAAACAATAAATAGACCCACTGCTTCTGAATGTTTGATTGTTTTCTTCTTTTTCCTTCAGGAAAAGCCTTGATGTATTTTTTGTGTTTGATTTCTCCGTGTTGCCTGATGTTTTCTTTTCCCCCATGGTGGTCATTTGGAATGATCTGAAAGGAACACTTATCTGCTGTCTTAGGCAACCGAAAACAACTAGACTGGTTTGAAGAGGGTTCCTCTGCTCATTCCGTTGTCTCTCCTGAGGCTCCACTTATCTGCCAAGGTCCACAAGCCTTTTCAAAGACCCAAGTAACAGGGCTGGTGGTCACTTGAAGGAGCATCAACCTCTCCCAAATTGAGATCTGCAAACAGACTAGGGCGCTCTCAGAGCTTCTGGGAAGGTCCAGGGTCTGTGGATTAGCACTTGGGTTGTAACAGCCTAGAGGTAGTTTGAGGACAGTGAGTTGTTAGCTGTGCTGGCCAGTCCTTGGGGGAGCTGAGGCTCTGGATCTCCTGTTCTTTATGATGTTTTCCTTTGACTTCAATTAGTTTCTTTCTCCCATGTCCTTCCTTCCTCCCCCCTTCTGTTTTTTCCTCCTTCCCTCCCTCTCTCCCTCCTCCCTCTTCCCTTTCTTCCTGTAATAGAGTTCTGAGATAACTAGAAGATAGGGCTTAGATTTTTAGCTGCCTAACTTTTGAAAATACGAAGAGGAAAAGAAGCACACAATGGCTCACTTTGTGAACACTGTGGTCAGTTATACATAGACATTTTGCCACTTTAGCCTGTGGAGTGTGTATGTGGCCTGCTAGAGTGGCACTCTGTCTATGAGGTTCAGCTCCAGCCTTTAGCCATTTTTTTTTTAACTGTGCAGTTCAGTGGCGTTGACTATATTCCCAACAAGCCTGTTCTTTTTAGTCTGCCAGTGAAATTGATGGGTGGGAAAAATCTGAAGGTTAAAAGGAACTTCTAGAAGACAGACTGCTATCTTTGCTTTTTTTATGTTATATTTGATTCATGACCAATAATGTGCACCCTCCCCTTCCTCCCTCCTGCCTTGACTCTTACGGCTTATCTTACAGTACATTGGGATGGTGTTTAAAAATAAATGTCAGCCGTGATGACTCCAGAGTCAGAAACTGTGGTCTGTTTGTTTGCTGTCCTGCTCTGGTTATCTCTGGTAGTTGTGACCAACTACTTTTGAGTTGTGAGTAATTTGTTAGAATTTGTTCTAACAAATTACTTAGATGTGTTTACACTCAGTTTCCACATTGGTAGCCCAAGCAAAATAGGTTTGTGAACGTGTAAAACACTTGGAACAGTGCTTGGCATGGGGCACACTCAATTAGTCTTAGCCGTAACTTCTGTAAACCTCGCTTGCTGATCTGATTCAAGTTATCAGGACAGAACACAGCCCTGGCTTTTCAGGCCTTTGAAGTGGCTTCAAGAGTTTACTCTGCTTGGTTTTTGCCAAAGGGGAGTGCAGAGGGGGGTGAGGTTACCCTCAGACTTCCTTTCGGGAGTCATCTGGAAGGTGGCATGAAAGGGAAGTCAGAAGCCCAG